ACACTTCACATAAAGAAAAAAAATGAATTTTGCATGAGGCATTTTGCTGAAGATAAGGTTCAACACAGATTGTGAAATTCCTATCCATATCTTTGACATTGCACTGACTTATCGCATGGCGCATCAAATGGAAACTTCAAAGGAAGTTGCTACATTGTTTTGGGATGCTAATTTTATAAAATAAAATACAAAGTCAAAGAAACATTGAGCGAAAAAGTAAAAATTTGAAATAAATTCTATTCCATACTTTGTACGGAGCACTTTTTTAAAAAAGTAAATTTCCCAAATAAATCATTTTTTATCACAAGTTATCTACCATCGCCTGATGAAGTACAATCATAGTATTGCAATATGAAAGCTTTTGTGTAGCGAAGTAAAATGCTCTTATTATAACCTCTTATAATAAAATATATATATATATATCCAAATGAGAGAAAGTGATGGAATAAAAATCCACAGTTCGAAGCATTTACTTTTTTAAAAAGTGCTCAATACAAAGTAGAGCAATATATTATTATTATTATATTTTTTATTATTAGAGGTTATAATAAAAACATTTTTAAATCGCTAAAAAGCTTTCATGTTTCAATACTATGATTCTACATACTTAATCGAGACATCGCCTGATGAAGTACAAACATAGTATTGAAACTTGAAACTTTTGTGTAGCGATGTAAAATGTTTTTATTATAATCTCTTATAATAAAAATATAATAATAAATAAACAATATATATATATATATATATATGTATGTATGTATGTATGTATGTATATAGATAGATAGATGTTTATCTGTTCTAAATATGAATAGATATACATATAAATAAAACGTGTGTATATCGGTATGTTTATTTATTTTGAACTGTCACAAAAACACATTTTCATTCTGCACTACTAATACCATTCTTAAAGGCATGAATCTGCTACTCCCCGTATACTACTATGACGTTTGGTCATTAGTATATTATAGATTATTGCTCATCACAACACACTCTGCCTTTCAATTTCTATTTCGAGTTGTTGTTGTTGTTGTTTTTATTTATTATCGGCCTCCTATCCATAATACAAGTTCATTAAATGCATGTAATAAATGATTGTGGGAGACGTGCGTATTATCGATGAATAAATACAATATTTATATTAAAATACTTCTTTTTTGTTACATCATGAGTAGATCTATATATTTAAGAAAGGGTGCATTTTAACATGGCGTAATGGTTAGCAAGATTGTCTCGCTAGATCAGTTATGACTTAGTCGTGAGTTCGATCCTCACTAGGTAATTTCGGCCTTGTACCTCATCTAAGCTACGGTTATTAACTTTATCCTGCTACTCAGCTCTGTCTTAGACGCAGATTAATATTTGGATATGTAACAGAAACATAACAATCGCTTCCTTGTTCCCTTTTAATGTTTATCTAGACTAGAATATTTTGTCACAATTTTAAAACGTGCGTTGGAACATCGTTTTTACCATAACATAATGAAAAAAAAACATTTATATATATATATATATATATATGCAACAAATATTTACTTCTCGAAAGTATCTCCTTATTTGTCAATGAACTTAAATCAATCGTGAATATACATAATATAAATTGAGCATTATACAGTAAAAATTTCAGATTAAAATTCTGCTAACTACATATTCAGTTAGGAATATCTTCAGGACATAGACGATTATGGCTCTCCACAACTTCCAATTCTTTGTAGCTCAAAGCAATGTTTAACTCTTCATTATCCTTCCTAGTTCATGTTCTGCTATCTATTTAACCAAACTTGTCATTAACAGTTCCATTTGCCCTTCTTGCCGCCAATGTGCCTTGCAAGTAAAATTCTCCAAGACATCTTTCCTTATTACGCATCCTTGAAATTCCATTAGTCTCTTCCTGATTAGTATAGATGTAGGTCTGAGCGAAGACCATCCTTCTTCGAACCTTGCGAACTGGCGCTACACAATCACAAAGAACTGTACTAAATAATTTACGGCCACATCACATTGAAACACCGGTTTCCGTATGATCACGGAAATTAATCAATATCGAGCTGAGTCTGTACCTCGATGGGTGGCCACTTGGGAATACAAGGTGCTGTCAGTTTGAAAGTGCGGGTGGTGCAATGCATAATGGATTGGAATTGTTAATCGAAGAGCTAATTCCCTTTGGGTTTGTTTACTTACGCGCAAATACCCTTGGGAGCGGTATGAATCCACGTTCCCCCCAGTTATAGGTTAATTAGTAAGATTTGTATCATTAAATCATTATTATCTAAAAAAAAACCCATCTTACAGTCTAAAAATATTTTCTGGCTTTAAATAACCTGCAAAGGGTTGATGAGCCGTAAAGAACAAATCAATGAAATAATGTTTAGCTACACATATCTTTTGAACTTATTTACATTCTCTGGAATATAAACGTATAGAAAGTACATTAGTCACAAATTGAGTTTATCAGTTTATCGATTGTAATATAAAATTGGTCCTCCACTTTATAACTATA